AATTTGTTCTCAGTGGAAGTCTGAGAGAATAATTTCTCTCCATGTGACTCTCCTTAGGCACACTTCACATCATTGATCACTTTCCTCTGTGGCCCCATAGTCTCCTTGATCAGAAAATTTGGGACACAACTGGGTCACATGATGTTGCAATACAGATTCTCCTATGTCCTGAGTTTTCACTGACCTTTAAAGGCTAGGGCCAAGATGTTGACTGTCCTTGCAGCCCTTCTTTTTCTCTAATTTTTGGTCTGCAAACTTAAGTTGTTAACCCTCCAGAAGAGAAGCTTATTGTTATTACCCTACAATCTAGGCAGTTGAGCTTAACCTCACTATCTGTCTGAATATCAAATATCTTAGACATAACATGGCACAGGTATTTTCCAAAAAGTATTGATATGTTAAACCTTAAGTTCCTACAGAATATGAAGGATAAAAAACTTTAAAATTTTTGAAAATATTAAAAATAGGAAAAAACAATTACATATTTTTACACAAAAATTTAGAAATCTAACCATATACAGCATTGTACCAGGACAGTCCAATGACCTTTTTTTCTTGTCTTTTTTTCATTTATTACCCTTTTTAAAAAACAAATATTCACTTGAGAGACATTATGGCAGTAATTGGTATGACATGAAAAGCAATATGTATTTAGAATAAACAGAATGACAGGCATTCCAAGCATGACCCTAGTATTACATATTGCTGTCTTCAGTGCAATTGCTTAGTTCACAGGTATCAGCATATATAGTTAGTCAGGGTGAGAATCCTACCAATTAACTGCTAGTTTCAAATACCTGCTGAAGATTCTCAGGATCATTGCCTTAACCATCTTGTGCATATAAATGTATGGCTTTGCCCCTGTCATGTTTCCTAGCTTTTCTCCTTGCCTGATCTTTGTCTATACCTTAAGTTCTCGCTTTCCTATAGAAAGCATATTGAAACTATATTTAAAAAAATAAAACTTAGGAGCTAACAGGAAAAACAACTTAGTATGAACATTTATAAGAGATATTAGGAAATGGGGAACGGGGCAGAACGCGTATTATGAATGATCAAAATACAATATATATGTACCACTTTCTAAAAATGTATCTATTATTATGTATCAAAATATATTTCAATAAAAAATAACATTTAGAACTAGAAAAACCTGCATTCACCTTAAATAAATGCCATAAGTTTAAACTAAAACAAATCAGAAAACAAATAAAGTCAAAGTATAATAGAATGAAGAAAATAAAAATTAGAGTATAATAAATGAAATACTAGAAAAGCACAGAAAAATATAAAATTGTTACAAAAAACACCACACTAACAAAAGTAGGGATGAGTCATTTAAATATAAATAAAATGGGAGACTACTATAATGAAAACCATAAAATAGTTTTAAATCCATAAGTATTAAGAATAATTATACAGATCCAGTCCTAGTGCAGGCCTGGTGAGTGTGTGAGAAAGCTTCCTCTCCCCTCTACTCCATAATGTCCCCTCCAGACTCAGCTCAGGCCTGACATACAGTAGCAATCCCTGCAGAGAGAGTAGGGGACAGAACCACCCAGCAAGTCCAAGAGCAGAACATCTTGCCAGAGTGGCAGAGCAGGTTCACTGCCAAGGGCAGCAGCAGGAAGGAACTGAGCATAGCAGCCAGACCCAAGCCAGGCACAGCTGGATAAATCCAAACTTTGTAGATCTGCACCAGAATTTCAGTAGGTGCTAAGGTTATAATTGCACCAAAGCTCTACAACAAAGGTCAGAAGACAGTGCTACACAAAAAGAATTATACACTAATAAATTGAATAATACAGAGAAACTGATAAATTCTTATAAGCTTACTTCCTACTTAGACTGAGTCTTGAAGACATAGAAGCAATTTTTAAAATAATTTTATTGAGAAACAAATAGCAATTAGACAGTTTCAAAACTGATTAGAAGCAGTTTTTAAAATTACCAAAAACTACCAAAGAGGGGCCAGGGAGATAGCTCAGTAGAGATAGCTGGCAAGTGCAAGGTCCTGAGTTCAATCCCCGGTACCAAAAAAAAAAAAAAAACTACCAAAGAAAGAAATGACAAAAACAGATGACTTCACTGATGAACTAAAATGAATTTTAGAATCTATATCATTCCTTCTCAAGCTTTTCAAAATATTGAAGGGAAAGGAATATTTCAAAACTCATTTTACAAGGCCAGTATTACAAAAACACTGTTAAGAAACTATACTGCAAGGAAAAAAACTAGAGATCACATCCCCCATGAGTGTGGAACCAAAGGTGCAGTACTAATAGCATATTCAAAAGCACATGAAATGGGATGCACACGGTGATGTGATGAGGGGCCAGGGAGATGGCTCAGTAAAATAACTGCTTGCCTGGCAAGCACAAGGGCCTGAGTTCAATCTGTGGTTACACACACACACACACACACACGCACACACACACACACACACACAAAGATAGGTGATGTGGTGGGGCTTTTCCTCAAGATGCAACAATGAGTCCTACATGCAGGTCAATCCACACAAAGCAACACATTAATAGACTGAAAGTTAATTCTATGATCTGTTTTACAGATGAGAGAAGTCATTTGACAAAACTTTCACATACATACATACATACACCTATACATACATACATACATACATACATACATACATGACAAACTGCAACAAGATAGTAGTAGAAGAAATATGTCTCAACTTCAAATATTAAAAGCTCACAGCTAACATGCTACTCAACAGTGAAAAGTTAAAAGTCTTTAAGATCAGTCATAAATCAAGGATGCCATCTCCTCTCTATATTAAACATAGTTCTACAAGTTTTAACCGGAGAAATTAGACAAGAAAAAGAAAATAAAATCTCCAAAATAGAAAAATAAAATTAACTCAGAAGTTAATATAATCTCATATGTTGAAAACTCAAAGGACTAAACACACACACACACACACACACACACACACATACATGTGTGTACACATTAGACCTAATAAGTTTGCTAGGATACAAAATAAATGTAGAATTCAGTTCTATTTGTATACACTAACAAATTACCTTAAATAATAAATTGAGTACCATTTTAAAGGTATAAAGCAAAATAAAGTGCTTGGGAATAAATTTAATCAAAGAAGTGGAAGATCAGTACACTGAAATATATAAAACATGACTAAAGGGAATTGAATAAGGCAGAATCCCACTAGGAATTTCAAGAAAACTACCCCAACCCTCTCCAAACGCAGAGCACTCCACAAACTTACAGCCCCCAAAGATGCCCCCACATCTCAAAAGAGCCTGAAGCAAAGCCTTCAACACATGAACCTTTGGGGAGCAAAGCATAGCAAACACTGGGAAAGATCTTCTCACTCCTGAAATGATGACTACACCAAACAACATGGCTGACACGTGTCAGCAAGGATATGAATGAAAGGAAAGTCTTGTGCACTGTTTCTTGGGAGTAAAGTAGCACATCCATGATCTAAACAGTAGGGAGCCTCTGGGGGAAAACAAACTAAAAATAGAATTGCTGTATGATCTAGGAATTAAGTTCTGGGAATATATTCCATAAATAAATGAACAAACAAATGAACCTACACTCCCGTGTCATTGTGACATTTTTCACAGTAGAGAGACATCGAAACAATCTAACAGCCAAAGGAAGGACATAAGAAGAAAATCTACCTTATATTTATGTATATACGCATTGGCATAGTATCCCAACACAAAAAGATCTGTTATCATTTGCCACCACATGCGTGAATCTAGAGATCATCTAGTGGAAGTAAGTTGAACGGGAGAAACAGTAAAATGGTGTTTGTGAGACACTGAGGGTAGGAGAAATGGGGTTGCATCAGTTAAAAGTTAAAGACTTTCAGTTAACACATAGATAATGTCTGGAGTTTCACTGTACAGCATGGTGGCTAGAGTTAACACACAAAAACCACGCTCAGGAAGTGGGTGGCTATCAGTATTGCACTGCACGTCTGAAATGCACTTAGCAAGCTTTTTGAAGTACTGGGGATCAAACCCAAGACCTCACACAATGACCACTTTTTCCTTTTTATTTTGAGACAGGCTCTTGCTAATTTGCTCAATTTCCCAGGCTGGGCTTGAATTTGCAATCTTCTTGCCTCTGTTTCCCAGAGTTCCTACCGGTCTGCACCATCAAAATAGGCTTTAGGAAGATCAAAGAAGTGGAAGATCAGTACACTGAAATATATAAAATAAGACTAAAGGGAATTGAATAAGGCAGAATCCCACTAAGAATTTCAAGAAAACTATCCCATCCCTTTCCAAAGGCAGAGCACTCCACAGCCTAACAGCCCCCAAATATGCACCCACATCTCCAAAGAGCCTGAAGTAAAGCTTTCAACACGTGAACCTTTGGAAAGCAAAGCATAGCAAACACTATGGTAGTGGCAGATGATAATGGATATTTTTATGCTGGAATACTATGCCAATGTGTATATACATACATATAAGGTAGATTTTCTTCATATGTCCATCCTTTGGCTGTTAGATTGTTTCGATGTCTCTCTACTGTGAAAAATGTTGCAATGACACGGGAGTGCAGATTCATTTGTTTGTTTGTTTGTTTATTTATGGAATATATTCCCAGAACTTAATTCCTAGATCATACAGTAATTCTATTTTTAGTTTGTTTTCCCCCAGAGGCTCCCTACTGTTTAGATCATGGATGTGCTACTTTACTCCCCAGAAACAGTAAGGGGAGATAGCTGGGGAGAAAGCTCAATGGCATAGGTACCTGCCTGTCAACAGCAAGGTCCTGAGTTTGATCTTGACACCAAGAAAAGAAAACTCTTAAATGTTCTTAATACACACACATGCACACACACACACACACACACACTCACACACACACACAGTAACTGTGTTAGGTAGTGGATGTGTTAATTAACTTGATTTTGGTAGGCATTTCACAGTACATATATATTAAATCAACACACTGTACCTTAAATACATGCGGTTTTATTTTTCAATTATAAACTAATAAAGACAAAGGGGAGAAAACAGAAAAACATGAGGAACTGCATCACTTAATTGCATTAGTAAATAAACTTCATCATTCAGACAGAAATTAGGAAAGGGGCTCACATGGTTTCTATGTACACACAAAAGGGGTCTCCAGTGTAGGCCATGTGGAAAACACTCAGCAAGTGCTCGTTTCATGCTGAGCAATGGAAAGAATGAGCAGATAAATGTGGAAACCACTTTTCTCAAAGTAGGAATAGTGACTCACATACATGAAATTCTAAAACTACCCCTTCACATCAAGATCTTGCAACTACATCTCATGACGGATGTCAGTCCAACCACTTGTGCCACGACAATGTGTGGTTCACAGGTAGATCTTCATCATCTCACAAACTGACCTCTCAGCTCCATCACAAAGGAAATCATTCCAACCCCACTGCTGACGATAATCTATCGTGACGCAGCGTTCATGTTTATTATTGGGCTCCTTTGGGTGCCAGAATCTGAAAGGGAAAGAAGGATGATGGTCTTTCTCCCAACAATACCTTGAAAACTTAGTTACAGAAAGGAGTACATGGAAATCACACATGAATTTTGTGGAAGCCAGGATAAGATATGATCAAATCAGCCCTGGCTCACTTCCTACTCAGCTTTGCTTCCACTTAAATTTCAGGCATTTGCCTTGAACATTGTGCCTACATCACACTTTATTGAATTAAACGTCCCCGGCAGATGTCCCAGAGGCTCTCCTCTATGTTCTTATTACCAGGTCCTTTCCCCAGAGGACTTCCAGTCTACAGGGCCTGCATATAGGATTTCACTCTTATCCTAGATAGCCATCTTTTTATTAGTACATTCGCAGTGCACAATGTTAGGACCTTTGTGTGGAGTCAGCACATGTATATAACACATCTTGGTACAACAATTAACAACTAGGAAGAATGTATGCAATGTGTTAATTATTGAAACTGTCCTACAAAAAAAAACACATCTTGGTTCCCATTTTATTCCTTATCTCTTCTCTTGCTTCCCCTTCTCCTGATCCTTTGATGCCTCTCTCAAGTTAGAAAGAACTCTTTCCCTGCTTTCTATTAACTAACTTCTTTTTTTATTTACAATTTGGATTTCTCATATAAGAGAAAACCATGCAATACTTAAACTTGTGTGTTTGATTCTTTTCATTTAACATTGTGGTCTTAAGGTACCAATGGCTACAAAAGACTCAACTTTAATTTTCTATAATGCAGAGTAGTATTCCATTGTGTGTAAATACCACATCTTCTTTATCTGCTTATCTGTTGATGGACATATAGATTGTTTCCAAAATTTAGCTGTCATTAATAGTGCTGCTATAAGCATGGGTATGCATGTATTGCTATACTAGGATATCTTTAACTGTAACTATATTTTTATTTCCCTTTGTATGGAATGACTCTAAAGTCTGAAGAACTTGTTAAGATGTGAGGACCTTTCACTTATTCTTCTTGGACAAGTAATTTAATTTCTTTGATTTTTAAATTTTCTCTCTAAAAATCAGAACTAGAATGATCACTTTATATTTCACACAAATCTGAGAATCAAAGGTGGTGATATACTAAAGTATTTAAGTACTTTTACAAAATGACAATATGAGATATTACATGAGCATTCATTTTGAGATTTTTTCCTTATGAGATATATTTAATCTTTACAATTACTCTTTTAATCACCATGAATTTTTATTATACAGATAGTTTAAAACAAAGTAGAAGCCACCTGTGTTTGGGAAACATTGTTGAATAGTCTTCTGTGAAATATCTACCGTCTCCAGATTCAATTTCCTCATCTCCATAAAATATAATAATGTGGATCTCAAGATCTTGTGATAATTAAATAAGATAATAAAATGATTGTGCCCTTACCAACAATTCACACAAATGAGAGCTATTTAATTTCATAAGTTATTGTAGGAACATCTTGAGTTCCTGGTATGATCCAGCACCCAGGATTCTTATATATATATATGAGAATATATATATATACTCACGTGACATTTGCATCATATGGTGTCTGATCAACCCATTGCCAATGTCTCTGACCCTCTGGATCTGACAACCCCACATAATAAGCACAGCCTTTTTTCACATTCTGTGCGATGAATTCCTGTGGGGGAGAAGGGAGAACATAGAAAACTTAGATTACTCGCCTTCAACTGAGTTCCTTTCCTTATGTCTTACAAATTTTGTGTTTTTCTATTAAAATATTATGTTGATTGAAAAAGTTATGGAGCACAGTCTGATAATGCTACACATGGATACTTTGTTCAATGTTTAAATCAGTAGAGTTAACATTTCTATGCCTTTTGAATTTTTTAAATTTTCAATTTAATATTCTAATTCTACATGTCCATGGGCATGGCATGATATTTCAAAAGAATTCTTTAAAGTTATAAAAAATAAATAATACTGAAACCAGACAATGATACAACAAAAAACAAAACTATAAAACAGTATCCTTGATGAACATAAAAGCGAATATCCTTAAAATATTTGCAGGGCCGGGATGTAGCTCAGCAGTATAAGCACCTGCCTGGCAAGCACAAGGCCCTGAGTTTGATCCCTGGTATCAAAATAAAATAAAACAATATAATAAACTAAAATATTTGCAAATAGAATTTAACAACACATTGAAAAGTTCATACACCATGATCAAGTTGGTTTAATGCCAGAGAGGCAAAATGGTACAATATATCCAAGTCAATAAACATTATGCACCACATAAATAGAATCAAAGCTAAAAATCACAAGATCAATACAATTGACATGAAAGCCCTGAAGAAACTAAATACAAGAGGGTCATTCCTCAATATTAGCAAAGGACTTACATAAAAACTCACAATCAGGCCAACCAAATAGCTCAGTAGATTAAAATGCCTGCTAGCAGGCCCAGGTGCCATTGGTTTGATCCCTGGGCTAGCCATGCCGGTCCTGCCTAGGGGGTATGCTGAGACTGCAATTGAGACTGGGCATAGTGGCTCACATCTGCGTTCTGAGTAGGACTCCAGTAGCCTGGAAAATAAAGTTAGGGTGGATAAATGAAACTACATTAAATTTTAATTCTCTGTGCTCACTTCAGCAACTCATATACAGCTCTTGGGAGGCTGTAAACAGGCGGATCACTACGAGTCTGATCTAGTAGTAAGACTCTGAATACTCTGGAGACCCTTCCCTAAAATACAAAAAAAAAAAAAAAAAACCCCAAAAAACTCACAAACATCATCATTCTCAATGGTGGAAAAACTAAATGAATTCCAATTAAAATCAAGAATGAGAAAAGAATGCCCAGTCTCACTACTCCTGTACAATATAGTGCCTTAAATTTTAGCTGGATCAACTAGGGGAAAGGAAACAGGTCAATTTGTTTGCAGATATTATGATCATATTCTGTGATGATCCTTAAAGTCTTCAGCAAAAGTCACTTAGAGATTTAAACAAATTCAACAAAGTAGCAGGATAAAAAGCTCAACTTTAGAAAAATAAGCATCTTTTCTATACACTAATAATGTTCTAGCTAAGAAAGGAATTTTAGAAACTATTCCCACTCACAATAGTTTAAAAAATACCTAAGACTCAATCTAAAGACCTCTATAATACAAATGTCAGACTTCAGAGATTGAAATTGAGGACTCTAGAAAACCAAAAGACATCCTGTGTTTTGGATTTGCAGGTCATGTTATTAAAATGGCCATATTGCTAAAAGCAATTCATAAATTGAATATAATCTCCATCAAAATGCCTGTGATAATTTTTACAGAATTAGAAAAAAATTCTTAAATTTATATGGAAGCCAAAACTTCCTAAATAACCAAAACAATGCTAAGCAAGAAGAATAAGACTAAAGTAAAATACACATTTTCAAACTATACTACCAAGTCACAGTAACAAAAACAACACGGTACTGGGATTAAAAATAAACAAAAAGACCAAAGGAACATAATAGAGGGCACAGAAATGGACGTTTGCAAGATGATAGTGCTTTGACAAATGGTTCTGGGTAAACTGGATATCCACTTGTAGAAGATGGAAACTTAGATAGATCCTTATCTCTTGACCTACACAGAAAAATAATTCAAAATAGGTCGATTACCTTGGTATAAGACCTAAGACTTTTATTCAAATAGGATATATATATAGCTACATTCACTTAATTCACTGAATAAGATTTGTTCTAATAGTGTCTGTGGACAGGATGTCATGTCTGCCTCTTGTACAATAAATAACCACTGAGACAACAATGTGCAATGTATTTATTATTGAAACTGTCCTACTGATTGGTTTTGAAACTCTCACTGCTATTTGTTTCTCAATAAAATTATTCTTAAAAAAGACCTAAGACTTTGAAAGTGTTTAGAGAAACTATAGGGGAGATACTTGAAGCCATAACACAAACAAATAATTTCTGAGTAGAACTTCAGTAGCCAAGAAAATAAACCAATGGTGGACAAATGAAACTACATTAAATTGTAAGTCTCTGTGCTCAGTTCAGTAACACCCATACTAAAATTGGAATGATACAGAGAAGATTAACATGGCCCTTGTGCAAAAATGGCATGCACACTTTAAAGTCTTACCCCAGCAGGAAAAACTACAGATTAAAGAAACAGCCTACAGAACAGGAGAAAATAATTGGTGCTACTTTTCTGACAGAAGGTGAAAATCTAGAATATATAAATAATACATGAAACTTAACAACACTAAGAAGATAACAATGCACAATGTATTATTAATTATTGAAACTGTCCTAGTAACTTGTTTTGAAACTGTCTCTCTGCTGTTTCTCAATAAAATTAATTTTAAAAAGAAAGGAAATAAAGAACTATGCATTACAATAAACTTTAGTATTTGAAATAGCTTAATAAAATGAACATAATCTCAAAAAAAACCAAAACTTTTTTAAAGGATAAAAATAGAGCTGCCTGTATAGATCAATCTATATCACTCATTGGTACAGTATACATCTGAAAATATTAAAATCAGCTTTCCATAGGAACAGCTACATGCCCACATTTATCACAGCACCATTCACAGTAGCTAAGACATGGTGCTCATCAACAAAATAAATGGTAAAGAAAATACATAGAAACACCCAAGTGTATCACACAGGAGTGATGAAAAGACACTCTTATCACTTGCAGGAAAATAGATGGGTCTGAAGAGCACCATGCTTAGTGAAATAAGGCAGACTCAGAAATATAAATATTGCAAATTTTCCGTAATATGTGGGATGGTATAAAATGTTACACAAGAGTAGCAGAGAGACCTCAAGTAGATAAGGGGAAGGAAATAAAGTGGGGCAGAAGGGACTGTAAAGGATAATATGGACAATTTTTAAAAGAAAATAAGTCTCAGTATTCAGGAGACTGAAGTAGGAGGATTGCTGCAAGTTTGAGGCCATCCAGGGAGACCCTGTCTCAAAACACACCCACCCCAAAAATATGGGCTTTAGCCAAGACTAACGTACCACACTAATGTTAAATGTTAACAACATTAGAAATTGAGTGGGGGTATAAACGGAACACTACTATCTTTGCAACCTATCTGCAAACCTGGATATATTTCTACAAACCTTAATTTGTATATCTACTACAAAAACAATATATTTTAGGGGTTGGGGAGATAGCTCAGTGGTCTAAGCACCTGCCTGGCAAGTGAAAGGACCTGGATCAATCCCCAGTACTACATGCCCAGCAGACCCCACCCCAGGCCCCACAAGCAGTCCACAGAAACCAGGTGTGGCGGCACATGCCTGTAATCTCAGTGCTGGGGAGGCTGAAACAGCAGGATCATTATGAGCCCAAGCTGAGTAGTGAGGCCCTGGATCAAATACATAAATTAAAATAAATAAGTTACTTAATTAAATAAATAAGTAGTGCTAGGAAAACTGGATTTTCACATGGTGAAAAGAAAAACCAGAATCAGGTCTATCATCATGCACTAAATGGATCAAAAAAATTATATTTTATTTAAGCTGTTCACAGAAAAATATTAAATTATAAATAGTTAAAAATGAAGGAAAAGAGAGGATCCAAGAATAGCAGTGTGGGGCCTTTGGGAGGCCAGATCATCACACACGTTAGAGCAAATGCGACCCACAACCCTAATAATTTTCTTCTTAGTTTCACTTTTCCTCTAAAGGATGGCATTCCTCAAGTTGCACATGAAGAAACTTTAGAAAACATCATCTTGTCCTTTTATAACATTAGAAAGTCTTTAGTTTCATTCCTGGTTATGAATTGTGTTTTCATGACTTAACTTTATTTCCCTATTCATCTTGTTATTTGTCTGTATTAAGCAGTTTATAATGTATAAGGTATTTACATAGTAAAATTAAAAACTGAAACTTATGCTAAAATACTTTCACCCTGCAGGTCAGCTCCTACGTGAGATCTTTTGATTGCCATGTTACTACCTCAAAAACAACGCATGGAATGTAAAGCTTGAGGAGTTGTGCATATGTATGTTATTGGGAAACTTTCTGTCTCAGCAGCAATATTCCAGAGCAATGTCTTTAGAAACTAATGCCTATATCCGACCGACCCCAGGCCCTGCGAGTGTGGGGGCGAGCTTCTGCTCTGTCCTGCGCCAGCCCGCCCCTCCAGGCCCAGGCCCTCCCCCGCGTTCTCCAGACCTCCCTCACACGGCCAGACCCAGTGCAGCCTGCCCTCTGAGTGAGAATTTCCACCGCGCCTTGGGCGCTCCATATGCGATTGACCCCAGGCCCTGCAAGTGTTGGGGAGAGCTTCTGCTCTGTCCTGCGCCTGCCGCTGCTCTAGGCCCAGGCCCAGGCCCTCCACATGAGAGAGTCACTTCCCTGCATTCTCCAGACCACTCCATACCACCCCCGCCTGACCAGACCCAGCGCAGCTTGCCATCTCAGTAAGAACTGCTGCTGCACTCTTGGGAGTCCTGCAGACCCACCAAAACACAACACTGGTGAGTGTGTGGGAGAGCTTCTGGGCTCTCTCGCCCCCACTTCTCACACCCCTCCAGACCCAGACCAGACATAGCATACAGACTTGAGGTAAAACATTGCAGCTAAAGTCCTCGCAGTGAGAGACTAGGGTCAAATCCACACAGCTAATCCAGGAACAGATCATCTTACCAGAGGTGTACAGCAAGACCACCTCCAAGGGCAACAACAGTAAGGAGCTGAGCACAGTAGCCTAACTGAAGCCAGGCACAACTGCATGAACAGAACTTGGTATATCAGCACCTGAATTTCATTAAGTGATAACATAATTGCACCAAAGCTCTACACCAAAGGCCACAGGTCAGTGTTAAACGAAATGATAAAGACAAGGAGCAAAATGCAATCTCAG